AAACACGAATAATTAAATTTTAATTCACAATATGACGCAATTATATCAACGTATGACGTAGTTTTTATTAAAATAGTTGTCGTAAGTAAAGACAGTTTGTTAGAATAGGAGAATAGAAAAAATTCTTAATTACGAACCATAATTTATATTATTCGACACATTACTGGAGAAATCAAATTAAAGTATGAGATCGGCGAAATATTTAACACGCTGCGAAATAGGCACGTAAAATATGGTCAGAGGATCCATGAGAAAAGACGCTCCAAATAGAAAGTCTGGGCGTGAGTGGTAGAACGTCATTGACGGATCTTGGAGAAATTGTGTGTGAGTGTAGACTGAATTCAAGTCTAAGAATTTGATATAATAAGAAGAACGAAATTAACATTTGGGTTCAGGAAATTTCTTGACTGGACTTACAAAGAAATACTTCGCGCATGAATTGGTTAGCTGGTGCAGCCATTCCATTGGACAGATTTCTTTGTATCTACGAGTCACTCTAAAGTTTTAGTGTGCAACTGGGTGCCTGTATTGACTGGTAGTATTTTTTGATGCAATTTAAATTTTATTATTAATTTCTTTAAAAAAAATTAAGAATACAGGGGTTGAAGTAAGACATTATTAAATTCCTATTTGTATAATCTTTATATGCTGAAAGTTTTATTTAGAGCCATTACATTTAATTTATTCACGATCCGGAATAAAGTTACCTCACGCCAAATGGTTTGATTTTTGATCTAATTCATTTGTTTACCGGCATTTAATGGAGCTGCTGTTTGGAAGAGTGTATAACGCAAGGAACAGTAGTGGGATTGAAGAGGACACGACTCTCACTATCAAACTGCAGCGATACGTCTTTTCTTTATTATCCTGTTTTCTTAACTCCGTCCCATCGCACTAACATACGAGTAGCAACAGAGCAAAGTGTTTCCAAGTTAATTGGAAACATCTGGATGGTAGATAGGGACGCGATGGAAGGACAGCCAATGAGTGTCATCTTCCTGAGTGCGTTAAGGGCGCAAGGTACAAAGTAGCAAATTCAAAGAAAAAACTGTGCTACTGAGGGGCGGCTTTAAAAGTATGGCTTTTTAATTGAGGAAATTAATATGACAGAATTAGAAGCTTCGTAATTTTTGTTATTTGATTACTTTATTAAAGTGATCGAATCGAGAAGGATTGTGAGGGCAGGCAACGTAGAATGCACGGGATGACGAGAAAAGATTAGCTGGGATGTGTGACGGGAGAGGTGGGAGAATAATATTAAATTGGATGAGATTAGCTGGGATGTGTGACGGGAGAGAGTCCTGGGTGCAGGTGGGAAATAATATTAAATTGAATCTTAAATATATAATCTGTTAGGACGATGGCTGGATTATTCTGCTTCAATAGAGAGTCAGTTGGCGGGCTTTTGTAAATACGGTATTAAATTTATGGGTTCCATAAAATATAGGGAATTTCTTGACCATATGGGGAACTGTCATTGCCTAGAGACAGGACCGTGTTCGATTCTTAGTTACGATGGACCACAAAATCAACCGGTTCGCTTTACCTTTGAAAGCCATCATCAAATGGTGGAAACGAACGTCGTAATATAGGATTTCTGTCAAATCTTGCAACGACGCAAACTTCGGAGATACTGCTATTAAGACACTTTTTTAATCCGTGGTGTTTTATGCAAATATTGTGAGACATAGCGTGTTTATTCTATTAGACGTTTTGTAATAATACATTCTTTATTTTTAAACAAAAAAATTTCGCTCAGGTGAACTATTTAGTAGGTTCCGCTAAGAAAGTTTATTTTAGCCTTTGAATTAATGAAAATTACAGGCCATAGATAGTGTAATTAAACTTTAATCAGTCTGTTGAACTACTGAACGTATTTACGTAAAGGTCAGTTTGCGTCCTTAACTGTAGCAGGCCTTGAAGTTAGTAAATCCTGGTAATTTTATAAATAAAACAAAATAAATCCAAATACAAGTTTCTGTAATATCAAATTACATTCATACCGCTCCTATTTCTGGTACTGTTACTTGCAGACAGGAGAAAGGAAGAGCCAATAGGGGATTTTCGAATTTCGTTTCTTGAAATACATTTGAATAGTTAAAGTATCCGCCCAAAGATGGTCTAAGGACTGAGTTTTTCTGTGGAAGAATGAGATTTCAGGGGCATTTGACGTTAATAATGAACAGATACAAAGCGTGACGGGCAAGATAAAGAAATTAGCTTAAGATTATCAGCTACTTCTTTGTGTTATTTGATAATGTCGTCTGTGTTAATCAGTGGGCTAGACGAATATGTCTTAACCAAGATGAACATTCATGACAGAAGGACGTAACGCAAAAACAAATTCCGAAATATATTTCGTAACCGTTCGATACAGCAAATATTTTGAATCACCCTGTAGCATCGTAACTTTCGCTGTAGTTTCTCAAAGTGAATTTTCCGAAATGTAGTTGCTCCAGGATCCAGGCCTGAGACGTCCAAGACTATTTCAATGGCTTCATTGTATTTTATAGGAAACTTACGGAGATTATTGTGATCTATTATGAATGGTGAATAATAAATGTTTATTTAATTGTGAGTTATCTAATGATTCTATGCCAGATGTGGATATTATCGCGTTGCATTAACATTTTATATCAGTATGTATCGAACTCTTAGAAATTACAGTCGTTATAGATGAAAATTTATCAGAGTTTAAGAAATTTGCAGATAATATTCAAAAGCTTTAATCGAATAAACTAATATGCTAGGGTATTATATATGTGTTGTGACTTACCTTAAGTGGCTTGATCTTTGTAGTGATCCGCTGCATTGGCTACGCACAAGCGACAATGACTACATTTTAAAATGTCATGCTTTCCTTTCCGTATGAGGGCAGCACCGTTAATGATGCGCTGTAAACTTTGATGTATGGCGAACGAGGTGTCCAAGCGAGTAGACCTCCACGACCAATCCAACTATTTCCATCGCGCTGATATTTGCGAATTGAAGACCGAAACGAGGCGTGTTACAGCCACATGTTTAATCTGACCTTGAGAGCAACGAATAGACAGCTCGTCCTGTACGAAATGCAGGTAACATTCTGCTGTTGAACGTCCCTCAGGGTCGATAAGACCGCACCACACGTACGAGTGACGTAAAAGGTCGGCGGAGGACACAAGGACGGACGGATAATGCGAACAGATAACTACGTTAACGGCGTAGATTTCGACCCTTGTTAATATGATATTTCTCACTCGTAGTAAGCCAATGAATAACTATCAGAAGTTTAGAAGACCTTTCGTGGGACAACAAGTATAACATCGAAAGTAATAATAAATGTAATAGAATTTCGCAGGATATTTTGTGGCTTGTTTCAGGATACTTAAACTTCAGTTAGAATATCCAGTCATCAATACCAGTACTTCTGCGAGATCACTGCAATTCGTTCCTTATTTACCGTAGCATTTACACGTACAACAAATTTTACAGCCGAAATAAACTCAATTTATATATATTTCTGTGTTTTGAATGACGAGAAACCGTCTGTCGTAATAGCATAGGATTCGTGGTTCTCCTCATGCTCTCAAAAATCGAATGCACAACACTTTAATAGACAGACTCATTTCATCCTACTTAAATTTTTAGAAACAAAATATTTTTATTTAATGTTGTAGAAAATTTGCAGTTTACGTAGCGATATTGATTATCGCAGTTAATTAAATACGTTCATCGTCTTCTTGAATGATTCCTGAGTTATTTAACAACACCTTTTCCAGTGCGTTAATTAATAGAGTCAAATGGTATGATGACTATCTTACATGAACTGAAAATTAATACAATTAAATTCCATGTTATTCTTTAATTTTTTATAATAATTTTCCTGCACGGACTGAGAAAAACAACTAAGAACCTGTCAGAATAACAGGTCTCCAAACTGAGATTTAAACCTGGTACCCCACGAATACAAAAGAGTAATCTTAATGAAAAAATTGTGATGTTCTCTGTATTTTCCCTTTCAGCATAGAGAAAATAAGTGTGACTCTCATGGTGAAAGAGCTAGGTTCGAATACCTGAATGTAACCACTGAAGAATGTCATAGGTTTTTTTTTAGTTTTGATTACGAATTCTGTGAAAACTTCGAACACGTTTCTTCAACTTTCCTCCGATTTGGTGTTCATAAACGTCTTACCGTGTCACACTGTACTCTACTTGATATCATCAGACGCAACGCAGTCATAAATTAAAGACATTAACGAACGACACGCGTCTTATTTATTTCCACAGTGCCCAATGGAAGTATTCCAACGAACTAGACAGTTTGTGTGCGAACAGAAATTAGGTTGCTACTCCTTCATGTGACGTAATTTACGACATCAGAAGAAAATGTCGAAAATTAAGGCGATGCGGTCTTAAAACGCTCTTGCCTTACAGATTGCACATACAGCCATAGAAGTTGGAATCGGCTGGGAGAGGTTAAGTGAGGGGTGAGTAGCGACTTCGAAAGCGAATTAACCAAGACAGAATACTGCCCGTACCCTACCAGTCCATTTCCTGCAACAAGACCACAGACTCCGTTCTACCGGAACACTTCACTTTGCTTGTTTAAATCGTTTGCGTTAGTTTGGTCTATTCTCTTAATCGATAAACAGCAGACGACCTCCTTAACTTCAGAAAATAATTAACAGATTCCGTATTTAAAAGAGGAAAGTTCTGCATGGTTCTGCTTGTTCAGAGAAGATATTAACTTAGAATAACTTAACTTATGCCTGGTCATGAAATGAACGTACAGACTTTAACTTTTCTTCGTGTTCTGTCTTCCGCCATCTCTCAAAGTAATTAGCTAGACGGTGCAGGATTGTAACTTGAAAGTTTATTGTTATTTGGCTGGTCAAGAATCCGCAGTTGAACAGAACCCGAAAGTCCCTATTTATATAAACAAAATCCGTCTAATGGACCATTTTCCGTGCGAGTCTAATCCAGGCCATACCAATACATCTATTTATTCAAGACTTATTTTAAAATTATTCCTTCATTTTCCAAATGATATCTTCCTTTCACCATTTTCTGCCAAAAATTTTTTACAGATCTCATTTATTCTTACGCGGTAAGTGTCCAGGTTAGATCACACGCCTTCATTTCACAACACTAAAATAATACGAGGAGTAGAGTTCAAATTATAAAGCTTGTGATAATATAATCTTGTTAATTCCTTTCCCTTAGGTTCCTCAGTAGATATTTTAATATCCAGATTCCTTGTTAGACACTGGGAAATTAAAGACTCTGAACTTAGTTATTAAATACTCCTTTAACTTAATCTGCTCGTAATTTTATGATGAATATTATTTACAGTTGTTTAGTCGTTTCTAAGTAGACCAACTTTAACTTTGCCATATTTTCAAAGAATTCATTATCTGCTTTTGCGTTGTTATTTTCTTCTTGTGTAGTGACAGGACATGAAGACACACTTAGTTCCATCTCCCTTTATTTCTAGACTAAGGTTTTCCTAGTGTCAGAATATATTAAACTATAATTAAGCCTTCTGTTTTATGTGGAAGTGAAACTGAGTGTCTCATTGTGAAAAGGAAAAAAAGGAGGTTATATGAGCAGAGAGTGTTGAAACATTACGTAATAAGATAGTGGTGAAAACTACTTAATGAGGACCTTTACATTTTATACTCGTCACTGTTGTTATCAAGTTTTATTTGCTCTGTGAAGACATTAACTTAAGATTACTTAAGTCACTAGTGCAAGTTAAATGACTTTGCAGACTTGTGCTTTCTTCGTATTTGGTATTCCGATGTTCTCTTTAACAAATGAGACTGAAGTTTTTTTTAGCTGTTTTGTCTGTGTATCACCTACTCTCAGACTACGAAGGTAGAAAACTGACATAAATGGAGGATGCTAAATGTAATATTTAAAACTAACAGAGAATTAAGTGACATCGAGTGGAAACACTTGAGCATCCAGGTACTACAGGTCTTGAACTAGCAATTAATAACGGTATCGTATTGATTATATTGATATGGAATAGGTAGTAATTAATTAATTAAATGGACGGTGCATGCAGAACGAATTAGAGACGTAGTTTCTGAAAACATTAACTGACTCAAGGTCGACTTCTTTTAATGCCATCCACGTTCAGATGGATTTAATGCTTTTGGTCATAATTGTATTGTAATTTACTTCTTATTCTCACAAGCATAGGGTACAACCCCTCCAATATAAAAACTGCTAATAAAATCACTTGGATTAGATTTGAGTTATACGGTTAATGGATTTGTCACCAAACAAGAAATGAATTAATGTAAAGCCAATTTGACATTCGCGTCAAACATTCATTGGGTAATTCTCAATAAAAGTTGAATAAGAAAACAGAAAAGAAAAGTAATGAGATATAAAGCGAGGAAGAAATGTAAAGACAAGTAAAGGAACCAAGGATGAAAGAGAGACATAAAAATGACATACATTGAAGAGCGTTAAGAATTCTGGATTTTCTGCTGTTTGGATGTGATCAAGACGTTTTGAGATGGATGACGTAACGATTAATACAGGCCACCGTCCGTTTACTGTTTGGAATTTCCTTCGTTTGCATTATTTGAAATGAAACACGAATGTAATAAGTAGGTTTGTTAAACTGAACTTGATCGTGAAACTGAAAAGAGGGTGTCGATTCAATCTTAGAATGTTTGTGGAGTGTTTTAAAAAGCTTAAGTTGCGTAGCGTAGGAGTTAAGATAGTTGTGTTTGATTTAAAAAAAATGTAGGTGTGGGTTGTGATCTATTTTAAGGCACTGTCCCAGGGTTGAAACTGTAGGAACTGAGGAACATCTAGAAACCCCCTAAATCGCTACTGCTAGGTTGAAATTCGAAAAAAGAATAACAATGAAATTCCGAATAAGAATCAGGGAGTAAGGAAGGAAAATAAATAATCCTGTACCGCGGGAATAATTCTGCGGTTACCATTATGAAGTTCATGAAGTTTAAGTCATGGTTCAAATTAACAGAAGCTTCTACAGCACATCATAAAACTTGTATTTTCACCGTAAAGGCGTAGCTAGTCTTGACTTTTCTGATAGACGTATAACCTATGCGAGAGAGTAACAAAAAAGTGAAATAGTCGGGATGGTACAACCAGAAACTTATTTCTCGGTTGTCACCTTCAATTCTGTGCCCTGTCGTTCTTCAGGGGGGCTGCTGCCATTCGAATCCTTGTCTCAGACGTTGCGACCCTTGGCTGATGAGCGGGCTACAGGGTGACAGCCTCCGATGTCTAATCTAAACACTGCGCAGGCCAGACCTTCATTTCAGTTATTTCATGTCGTCTCATCTGTACCGTCGAGTGAATTGGTGAAGAGGCGTGGATCTAAACTCGTATTCTGGTTGTACTCGGTTCGAAACTTTACTGGTTGACTGAAACTTTTGGTGGATTACTTCATTCCCGCCTTTCGAATAAACAAAGTCAGAAAATTGTTTATCGTTATCGGATTATGATCTCACAATTGTGTTAATTATGAGATAGAAAGGAAAATATAAAAGATTAGTTAAAAGGGGGAGGTGTGAAGGAACAGGTAGATGCAATGTGAGATTAAAGGGCAGAGAAGCCAAATAGAAATATGGAAATAGATAAGAGAAACGAAGAACACGAGAATAGAATGATTTAATTAAATAAAAGGGGAACGAAGGAGAAATGATAGAACATAAGAGAAGATAATTTTGTGGAAAATAAGAAGGAGAAGAAGTGAGACAAATTTTTTCTTCTGTGAGGCTTTCTACTTATGACTTGGGTCTGTAAGAGATGCAGATATTGGATTTGTTATTAAGCTGGTAAAATCAATACCCGGGACCACCTTAGCGTTTCGACTACGTCAGGGCAGATTAATATACTCATATTCTGTGTAATCTAAAGACATTACCGACTTAGGCAGAGAGATACAAATCACTGCCTCTGGGAAATAGTATTTATACACAGGAACCTAGTGTACTATCGATTTCCTTCTACGTCTAACGGAGTCAAACGTACCGATTCGCCCCTACTACTGTAACAGGTATATATATATCTGATTAGGCAGCTTGAGTACAGACCTGCTA